GGGGGGGGGGGGGGGGGGGGGACAGTAGAAAAATGTCTTCTATTAAAAAAACACGTTGGTGCAGGACATCCCACGTTAATGAATTAAGAAAGTCTGATTCTCAATGCTGTCAGTATCCATGTATCTGCTACTTTAACTTTTAAAACCATAGCGTGAAAGTGAAGCTGAGGTTAAAAACAAAGTTAGAATCAAAACTATAAATAATCAACTTCACAACCTTTTCTGCTGCTTGACGTCGACGTGTGTTTGCGTGTTGTCAGATGGAGCGTGATGACGTATGAGGTCCCCGCCACCAATAAACACACGGCGATCATGAAGGAAGACGACGGCCTGGATTCTCCTCTGCAGGTGAAGTAGCTCCGAGTAACGTCCAGGAAGCCGTCTACTCTCTGACGGAGGGTTTCCATAAATTAGCTCCCGCCTAAAAAAACAAAAACAAAACAGATCTCACACAGGTTCCTAGAAATGATTATGAAAAACCTCAGCTGAGAATCAATGGAGGCTGGCAGCTGGACGCCAAAGCAATCAGACCACAGCCACGGGGAGCGGAGGAGATATCGACGGAGGGCAGCTCTGAATTTTTCCTTTTAAGCTCAGCGCCGCGTCTTGACTCCCAAAAAAAGATCCCAGTCATCGTGACTCATCATCTGCTGAACCACTTCCTCTCCTTCAGTTCATTCAGAAACTTATTATTATTTCTTTTAGGTGACGTTTAAAGCAGCGTGGATTAAGATGGAGGCAAACAGGTCCGTCTCTGAGAGGGACACTAGATGAGACATTCTGCAACGACTAATAACAAAATACCTCTGTGACCGGTTTGTCAAGATAAAGAAGTTAGAAACAAGCCGGTACCGGAACTGTTCTCCTTGTGTCTCCTGGCAGCGGTTGTGTGTTTTTACCCGGAGGCTACACTGGAGAACACGGCGACTCACTTCCAGAGCATGAATGAAAAGAAAAGGTGTCGTGTTGACGTCACAGCGGGCGCTTGAACGCAGCTTCACATTCATCAGCAGCCGTTCACACCTCGACTCAGGACCAGTGACCTGCACGTTTAGCGTAAAGACTCTCAGGCCCCGTTCACACCTGGTTTAACATCTGTTCAGCTCAAACCCTCATGGTCTTTGTTTATATTTCGCTTTCCAGTGCATCTATTTGCCGACGACCCACTCTCCCCCCTGAGACACAGCCGTCCTATATGTCCATGTTTGTGAAGACGAAATTAGGGTTTTTACGTTATGTTTGAAGATGTGTCCGTCGACAGTGTCCCCGTTTGTTTGTTGACGCGAGTGATTCTGGGTTTTTCTTGTGGTTTTCAAACAGTCGCAGGAATTCACCTGCTCCCTTTTCTCTCCCTCAGGTCCACATCACCCAGTACGCAGACTCCGTGGCCTCCCACCTCGCCAAGATCCTGGACTCGGACAAACACAGCGACGTCATTTCCTCCGCCAAGTACGTATCGTGCATGCATTAAAAAAAATACAAAAGAAGAGGAAGACAGGAACGGGAGGAAGGAGGGAACAAGTGAATAGAAGGGAGTGCGGGTGGAGTGTCTGGTTAATGAGCGAATCGATTGTGTTTTTTTGCTTTGCTCTCTCACACACACACACACACACACACACACACAGTAAATGCAGCTGTAGGTGAAAGAGATGAATCAGTATTTAGTCGTCGTCCTCGGTGCATTAGCACATTAGCAGACGTCCTGTGGGAGAAGACACAGCGGTCGTTACAGAGCTTATCTTCTGCTGCTGATTTAAATCACCACAGGGAATTTTACAGGGTTCAATTTACTGGACTCGAGAAAAAAACATCGACTGTATAAAAAAACTCCGGGTTCAGAAAGTGAAGCCAACAGAGAAGTGCCTGAAACTGACCAACAGAGGGCGACTCCACTGGTTGTTTCTATAGAAGTCTATAGTTTAATTTATTTACAGTCAAATAAACCACATTATGCATTAGGGGGGGCGTGGATACCAGTGTGATTGACAGCTAGTACCAGTCAGGCTCCACCCCCTGCTTCTCCAAACATGGTCACATTTTCTTGTGTTTTTGAATTTTTATCTATCACTGAATCTTTTTTTACACCAAATGCAGTCAGATGTAAAACATTGACCCCATCGCACCACACTGAGCGCAGCAGCCTCACCCTCTGAAGAACTGGTCCCAACGCAAACATCTGTAAATTCCTGCTGAGACGATCGACACTGAGATAAACGAGGCGTGTTTATTTATTTATTTATTTTTTTTAGCGGTAATCACTTTACAGGATCTGATGTTTGCTGAAGGAGAGAGTGAGAGTGAGAAACGTCCCCGCTGACTCATGCAGCTGCACACACACACACAAGCAATAAGTTTAGCATTAATATTCTTAACTATTTGTATTTGGTATTTATTCTGGACTGACTTTATCTCAAAAGTGTTGATATGAAACATTCACAACGATACGTCTCTGAACGTTTTGTATCGGCCTGATGATAAATCGGTCGAACCCTGATGTGAACCCGAAGCGCTCGAACCTGACAATGACGAACACACCTCCTCTCTGTGCTCCGTCAGGTTCCTGTGTGGGACGGTGAACGATTTCGTGGCAGAGGTGGGGAAGGCGTACGAGAGAGCCACAGAGAACAAGGAGGAGGCCGACGCGATGGCAAAGAAGGTAAATGCTTCTGTGTGTGTGTGTGTGTGTTATGTAAGCGCTTGTGTAACAGTGGGCGAGTGTAGGTGTGTGTGTGAGAGAAAGAGAGAGAGAGACGGGAATAGTTGAAGGTTCAGTGTCGCTCTGTGGCCGTCACTGTTTTCAAGTGTTTGACTTTCTGAGTGTTTTGAAAAAGACGTTGAAGAGGAGGACGAGTTTTATAACGAGAGTCGAATAAGTTGTTCCTCTGGATGAAGTGCAGCCGCCTTTAATTCATCACATCCTGAACTCTGTCTTCAATTTTCTCTCGTTATATAAAACTCGGACTACTCTTGATGACGTAGCCGTGTATAGCAGTACTACCACGACTGATACTACCACCAGTCCTTTGTTTTCTAAGAGATGTTCTCGTCTTTGTGTGTCTGTTTCCTCGCAGTGTTCGCTGCTGAATGAGAAGCTCGATTCCCTCGTCAAGGCGTTAAGCGAGGAGGCAGAGGCTCAGGTGATAACACGACCAGGGATGTTCATCAATATGTGATAATCAAAGCCGTCTGTGGAGTCGAGTGTTCCAAAATTAAACGTTCAACTTTTCCATTATCAAATCTGGCAGCTGAGAAAAGCAGAGTCTCTAATAAAAGCACATTTAAATCCACTAGATCCTGATTTGGATCTGCACCAGATTTCACGCCCTCAAGGTTTCCAGCAGTAGAAGTGACAACAATCGTTTTCTCATCTGATAAAACAGAAGGAGCTCGTTCCCTGAGTCTTTTATTCTCAGATTGATTTTGCTGCTTTACAAGAAACGACTCAACCCTCGAATTGTCCGAATGATTTACGAGAATTCCAACTTTGAATCAGGCATCTACGTTATATATCTCATCTATATTTATATTCCATACGTAAAATATGAATATCCCCCAACAGCTCTGCCTGTAAATGAATATTAACTGCTGCTTGAAAGTCTCCACAGAGTAAAATATATGAACGAAGAGACGTTTTCTGGATAAATTCTGCCACTTTAGTGATGCTGCCGTTTCCCTCTGCCCCTCAAATGAAACAAATGTTAGAAAGAAGCCAGGAAACAGCAGGAATCCTATAAAACGGTGAAGGTGACAGGACATTCTTTCTCCCAGAGCATCGAGAGGATATTTACCTTCTCTGTCTCCGTCCAGGTTGTGCCGGCAGGTTCCGTGCCGAGCCAGGAGAGCGGCAGCTCGAGCCCCGGCGAAAGTGGCGGAGAGTCGGGGTCCGAGGGCAAATCGTATCGGTCCAAGGAGCAGCTGATGCTCCGAGCCAACAGCCTGAAGAAAGCGCTGAGGCAGATTATCGAGCAGGCGGAGAAAGGTACGAGGTCGTTTCCCCAAATCAACCAATCGGACATTTCCGTTTGGTAACGAAGTGACTGACGAATCTAATCTGGATGTTTCCGTTCAGTGGTGGACGAGCAGAACCGACACACGCAGGTGCAGAGGATGTCGTCCTCGTCCTCCATCAAGCGAGAGAACAGCGAGGAGCTGAAGGAAGCCGAGCCACGTACGTGTCTCCTTCGGTTGGATCTCAGGATAAAAACATCTTGTTTTACAGTAACTTATCATTACGACCTTTTCTATGAGACCGTTTTTCATTTTACCCATCATGCCTCCTTCCAGGTCAGGGCGGCTTAAGTCCCACCTCCCCCATCGTCCTGGAGAAAGCAGAGAGTCTCAACACCGTCACCTTCAACGAGGACTCAGTGTAATTCAGTGTTTGTTGATTATTATTCCTTCGTTATCAATGCGAGTGAATCTTGTGTTTTGATGGTCGGTTCATATTCTGTGTGTGTTTTAGACACTGTTCAGAAAAGTGTGTGATGAACAACTACTTCGGGATCGGCCTCGACGCCAAGATCTCCCTGGAGTTCAACAACAAGAGAGAAGAGCACCCGAAGAAATGCAGGTATGAACACACACACACACACACACACACACACACACACACACACACCAGAGACTCATGGGTAATGTTAGATTTAGATTCTGTCGATCAGAAGAAAAACCTGCTTTATTATAATTATTTTTATTATCGTTTTTCTTGTTATTACAGTTTGTAATTAATTAACCAAGATAAATCTTTTATGCGTGAAGCAACATTAAACACGATGTTTCTAGAAAATCTGGAATCTGCTCCTTAAACCTGATTCGTTTCTCCGTCTCCTCCTGCAGCAGCCGCACAAAGAACATGATGTGGTACGGAGTCCTGGGAACCAAAGAGCTGGTGCAGAAGACGTACAAGAACCTGGAGCAGAGAGTTCAGCTGGAGGTGGGACACACGCCGACGTGTTTACACCTCCTGAAGAATGAGGAACTCTTCTGTTGTCTTCCGTTCTCTAACTTCCTCTCGTCTTTCTCTCTCCCACAGTGCGACGGCGTCCCGGTGCCTCTGCCCAGTCTGCAGGGCCTCGCTGTGCTCAACATCCCCAGCTACGCAGGCGGCATCAACTTCTGGGGAGGCACCAAGGAGGATAATGTGAGGAAATAAAAAAAAAAACAAACATGTCTGACTCATCCATCCACGTTGAAAAGAGAAACTCGACTGACCCGATGTTCTCTCCTGTTCAGAACTTCGGGGCTCCGTCGTTCGACGATAAGAAGCTGGAGGTCGTGGCCGTGTTCGGCAGCATGCAGATGGCCATGTCCAGAGTCATCAACCTGCAGCATCACCGCATCGCACAGGTGAACACATCCCGACATGTTTAACTGTCGCAGGGCGGCACGAGCTTGTTGTTTCGGTTAAAATACAAACAAAATCGAACAGATCCCAGAAGCAGTGTGGCAGAAAGTCATTAGGATTCACACATCATCTATTTGTCAAAGGCATACAGTTGTACAGTTTAAGATAGTGCACCGGCTTCATTGGTCAAAGGTTAGGCTGTCCAAAATTAGACCGGAGTTAAACCCTACCTGCGATAGATGCAAGCAAGCTCATGCTAGATCCATCCCCCCTTACTGCTTTATTTGGTGTTACTCCACAGGCTGTGAATTTAAGTGATTGTAAGTCCAATGTGGTGGCCTTTTGTACACTACTGGCCAGACGTCTGATCCTGTTCAGATGGAAAGACCCTCTTCCCCCTTCATATTCCCACTGGATCAGAGAGACTGCAGCATCTGAAGCTAGAAAAATAAGATATTCTCTCCGAGGGTCTGTTTTGAAATTTTACGCAACCTGGCAGCCTTTCTTGGCTTTTGTGGATCAAATGGAAGCAGAACACGTAACACTGCAATACATGTGAACCCCTTACTTTTACTGTCACACGTGTTTTTCCTGTCTGCTATATCTGTTTACGAGATGCATCTTATCAACAAACACATGAAATGACATTTATGCTTTAGCGGTACAGGTCTGGTGGGTGGGAGGGTCTCGTGGGTGGTGACCAGGGATTAGTTACTGTTTGTATTGTATTATGTTTGTATTTTGCATATAGTGAAAATCTCAAATAAAAAAGACCTCGTTCAAAAAAAATACAGACAAAATGAAGAAATCTAGTTCTGGTTGATGCATAAAACAATAAATCCTGGTTCAATAACCTGATATTCATCAAAACTAATGGTTCATAATAAACGTTCTTTTTATTTCATTGTCAAAGCTGCGTGTTTCACAGGATTGATGGAAATGTTCAGTGCAGAGGACGCAGGAGGCGGAGCAGTGACAACATCTGGTTTAACAGCTGTTGTTGTGTCTCAGTGCCGTCAGGTGAAGATCACCATCCTGGGGGAGGAGGGCGTCCCCGTGCAGGTGGACGGAGAGGCGTGGATCCAGCCGCCCGGCATCGTCAAGATCGTCCACAAGAACCGGGCGCAGATGCTCACCAGAGACAGGGTAAGAGGTTTTGAACCATATTCTCGTGTGTGTTTTCAGTAGATTTGCATGAACACATTAAAAACAGCAGCTCTGGCCTTGAAGTTCTCCTCTTTTCATAAACGCTGCAGCTGAAGATCGGCTCTGAGCTCACGTTGACTCGTTCTGTCTCGTGTTTGTTCTCTCTTCTCACCGCTCGAACCTTCGAGAGCTCTCTTGAGCGCAGCACATTCGGACAGTTTGTTTCCATGGTTTCCCTCCTTTAGTGCAGCGGAGAGAGAAGAGGCTCTCTGATTTTTCATCCTCGTTCAAACTGAGGCAGGTTCGTTCCTGTTCGAGTGGTTAAACTAAATTATTTTCCTCAGTTCTACAGATAAAAACATTGTTTATTCTCTCGTTTCTCAGTCCAGATTTCTGCACAAACACAACATGTGAAGAATCACATGGACTCAGGAACCAAAATGTTTTTGTGACAGTGTTGAATAAAAAAAACTAGAATGTCTTTAATTAGAGCTCGTTCCTCCGCGAGGGTCCAACAGTCTGAAGCTGCACTAAATCACAGTCGTAGATATGAGTCCTCTAAATATGTCCGATTATTTTCATCAGGATCTACGTTTTATTTGAGCATTTAAAAATGTGATGGTTTATCTCTTGGCCAATGTTCCACCAAACAATCTCAACCTCCTTCTCCGTCGCGTTCAGGCGTTCGAGAGCACGCTGAAGTCGTGGGAGGACAAGAGGAAGATTGACAGCTACCGCTCCAGGCCCCGCCTCAACTCCCAGCAGTCCATGGAGTACCTGACGGACGAGGAGTGCGCTCAGGTCCAGCAGCTCAGCATCGTGGCCGACACGCTCATCAACAAGTGAGACCTCAACTGCATTTCTTTGTCACAACGACATCTTATCAGTTATTAGGTTTATATATCGGCGTCGACATTACAGTCCATTAAGCTCTCAGTATTACACATGTACTGTACGTACATGTACACACAGTACATAACGACAGCCTCCCTGTTTGATCTCGTGTGTTAAGATGTTAAAACTGTCCAGAGATCACTAACTTCCCTCCACTGCAATCAGATTTGTTCATTTTTATTTTTCTCCGATGAGCCATTTGATTTCAGTTGTTCTCTCTTAGAAACCATTCGTGTTCCTCTGCAGTCTCCTCAGCTCCGACCTGTTTGTCTGCGAAGCCAAATTCTCGTTTCAGGACGATAAATATTTTAATTACACTCATATACTCGTCTCAGAAGTTGAGAAATATTCATAAAGGGATCTGGGTAATTTTCTAGCTCAATAAAAAGCACACGTGGTGTAATTTACATCTTCAGACATTTCCTTAAAAGAACTTAAGAAGATTGAGGGAACATGTTTTTTATTTGCAGGGAAGATGCAGAAAGTATCAAATCAACTTTGTTAAAAGATGATTTATCATAAATGAAGTTTCAAATCCAAACAAACAGACGGATGAAGGCAGCGGACGTTCGTCCCATCGACACTCGGAGATAACTTGTTGGAATAATCCTCATAATTACGTCCTCTCAGAAATAATAATCACATCTCTCAAGTCCGTGATCTGCTCCCTCGTTCCCCACAGGATTCGCGAAGCAGCCAAGACCCACAAGCTGGTGGAGCAGGAGTTGGCTCACGCCGTCAACGCCACCGCCCTCGTGCTCACCGAGGCCAAAGTGTCCAGCCCGGAGGTAAGACGCAGAGAGGGACAGATGGACGGTTGACTCCGCGAAGCAGAGTTAAAAAAAAATCCCAGTGGGTCTGAAGTCCGTTTACAGGCAGTTCATTTAGCATCAGTCCTTTTCACAATAACAGAATTTTTATTACAGTGATTTTAACCAAAATTTTACAAAATCAAAAATATACATTATTTCATGGTTGTTATTTTTGTAAATGATTGAACAGTTGTCACTGCATAAAACTACGTAACAAATAATTGAATGTAGATTTTATTGTTGAGCGTCTTTGTCTGATGAGATGTTTGACTTGTTGATGTCCAGTGTCTCAGTCGCAGCACAGCGGTGGAGATTGTGAACATCAGTAAAGTTCTTCAGGGTGAGACCAGGATGCTGCTCGATGGAAAACTACTGGTACAACTCCTCATTTTCTCTCCAGCGTCTCGTTTTGCTGTAGCTTCATTTACCTTTTTACCAGAAGCTCTTTGTGAATGTGAAATATAATGAAAACACTTATTCAAACCAGGACTTCGTACTTTAATCAGTTTTGAAGTTTTTACTCTTTTTAAACTCAATTAACGAAACTAAAAATGTTTGATTGAATCTTCAGGTCGAGACTGAGTGAGATTAAATTACTAGATAAAGATAAATAAACCAGCACAACATGCTAATGTGCCCCAGCTGTTTACAGATGTTATGATCCTTTCTTTTTAATTTCATCTCCATGATCAAATATCACATCACGTCTCTAAAGATCAAACTTTCTCCTCCTCATCAGTCGGAGTCTCCAGAGGAAGAGGAGCTCCGGTCGACTCTGAACAGCCTCAGTGCCGAACTCCACAAGCTGGACGACATCCACTGGATCTGTCCGCTCATGCAGTGCTCGGAGGAGGTAGCAGCCGCCGCAGTACCGCCTCTAAAAGTGTGAATCTCTCTCTCCGCCTCCGTTCTCACGATCTCTGCGTCTTTCACAGGACTCGGTGAGGAGCAGTAAGAGCAGCAGCATGAAGCTGAAGATTATACCCAAGGTGAAGAAGGAGAGAGAGAAGCTCCACAAGCAGAAGTCCAACAGTTCTCTCTCAGGTGAAACATCATTTCCTGTGCGACACTCGACCGTCTGAGAACATGTTACCTTCTCTTTTAAAATCAGCTCTTTCTTTTCCTGCTCGTGTTTAAACCTGAAGCTTTCTTTAATCCAACGTGACCAGGATTCCCTGTTAGACGAGAGGTTGTGTCTCGACAAACCTTCATGGTTAAATACAGAATTTAAAAAAAGACAAGTACGGATGTTGAAACCAGTCTGATGGAAACAGAAACCACAGAGAGCGTGATCCTCTCCACTGAGCAGTCACCACGTCACACGGTTCACGTTAAGAGTTCCTAACGTGTTTACAGGATCGGCAACGTGCCTGATCCAGGTGTTTATTTGTTGGTAACCAGCAAAGTGCCGCTGGAAGCACAGTTATCCTTGTAATTGCTGTAGTGGTGATAATTATCTATTGTTTGTTGGCAAAGAAAAGACAGTTTGTAATTTCATTGAATTTCTCTGTCTGGCAGGAACTTGGGAAATCAAAGGGGTCGGTGAGGCAGATTCTTCAGGCAACTGAAACCCTGCGTGAGAGTTTACTGCCGCCGCCATTACCCTGACAACCAGGGCTGAGGAGTTCTCCTCCCAGTGGCTTCACAGAGGAAGGAACATCATCTCCCAACTTTTATGCTATTTCCTCCCTGTGTTACTCCTCCGGCCTTTTTTGAAACAGGGAGGAACCTTTTTCCTGTTGTTTGAATTAGTTTGAAGGGGCTTCGCATCGCTTCACCATCAGCGTTTTGTTTCTGTTTACCTGCTCCGGTCAGCCAAACAGGATGAGGGAGGCGCGGAACGACGTCGCCGTCCTCGCCGACGTCTTTTTGACGGCCAAATGTTTACGTGGCGCTCTCCTCGCATGCAGAGTGCAGCCATCTTATTTTTGATCCTAACTTCAGTTGTTTTGTTTCTGAACTTCAGAAAATCCTTTATCCTTTTTTCTTGAGACTTTCTAAGAGTATTTATTTCTCGTTGCTTCGGCCGTGAGAACTCCGACGGCAACAAATGAACAAACTGAAACATCTCAACGTTATCGTCTACTGAACTGCAGAATATCTTAAATGTTGCAAAAAATATACTGAGGAATGTACTTGTGTGGACTTGTATTAACCTGCAGATTATAACGTTAAATGATAATTCTTTTATGATTTCACAAAGGTTCTATTGTCGTGGTTCCTGATAAGCTGTTGTGTGACTCGTGTGGTCCGAGGCTGCAAAGAATAATGTTCTCAGTGACAAAGTCATTTCATCTGTATTTCAGCCTTATGAAAAGATTGAGAGGTTTTAAAGTACGGTACGTCACTCGGTTATTCTAAAGTTTTTAAAATGTGATTTAAGTGTGGGGGGGTTAAAACCCCATCCCGCTGTGCATTTCACTTCTTCTTTGAGGAACGTTTCGAGAAAACGGAACCGGATGAAATGACTCGATAAGTTCGACAGTTTACGGTGAGGAAGCATATTTCTTACTACTTACTTTACTTTGCCATACTCTTGATTGTATATGTAATATAAGAATAAGAGTCAGTGGATATTTGATTTTTGCCTTGTCTGTGGTTAAAAGCTATTATTATTATTATTATCAACATCAAATATCTATTTTTTAGTATATCTTATTTTCCCAATGGTAACGTGTGAAGCTGTCCTGGCTTTGCTGCTTCACCCTTTGACAAACTCGGCCACTGTGCATATAATGGAAGCCAGTTAATGCTGTTGCGTGTCCCTGCATGTAAACTCACAGTCGCCTCATAAACATGAATCTTTAGCCTGATTGTTCCAACCAGTGGCATTTGTGCAATTTAACTTTATTATTATCTGCTTGTGGCAAGAAAACACTGGAGAGACGTTTTATTTTAGTGAAGGAAAACGAACGAACGTCCAACGTCTCAAGCGAGTTATCAGACTTCTGATTTAAAATAGGTTTTTATTTTATTTGGCTGCAGCCAGAATAACCACATGCAGTGAAAAAAACGTGCTGCTGTTTGGACACATTCGGCTAAAATACTGACGTTTACAAGTTGTACAGGACGGATCCTTTAAGAAAAGTGATTACTCAAGCAAAGGAAAAAAAAGGTTCTGACTGTTGTTTAATATATACACACAGTAAATTCAATTCTTTCAGTTTATAACGTTCAACCTGACTGGTCTGAGATTAATGTATTTGTTAAATAAGCGATAATACATTGCTGTCAGTGTGTCATTTTAAATTTATAATAGCTACGATGAAACTAACTAATCAGAATTAGGCCTGAGTCAGAAACCCACTTTGACATTTAAACTCTTAAGGGATCATTTCCGTGCTTCTTGATTTTCTGTTAATCAAACATTTATGGGACTGACCCGAGCTAACCCTCGAGGGGGCGGAGTTACTGTGAGTTGTCGTAGATTTTCAGATCTGGTTAAGATTGTGCTACTGTGTCCATCGTGTGCCAGCTCTACACCTTAGAGGCTTTAGTGATGTCGTGCCAAGTTTGTACCGAGTTCAGTGGATTATGAGACATACAAGGTGTGTGTGAGCTTCAGATGCAAAAGACGTACGTCGTACATTTCAAAGTTTACTGTATCTTGCCTTGCACTTTACAAAGAAGAAAACTTTACGGGGGAAAAAAGACATTTTACTGTACGTGTGCGCGTGTGTGTTTAAGACTTCGAGTGGGTACGAGAGTTTTTTTTATTGATTTAGTGATAAAGTCTTTATTTATGACAAACGTGTATTGATGAACTGTGTTCTATCTAACCAAGTGTAAAAGAATGGTAGATGTTTCTTACATCAGTGGTTGTATAACTACTCCCACATAACACCAATATTATTACATATGATTGTCTCATCCCACTGCCACAGCACTGCCTTTAAAATGTCTCCAATTGGTTTTGAAAATCCTCAGTGTCATAACAAGTGATGTCATGTACAGCTTCTGTTTAATTGTTTTTGAATTTTTTTGAAACTTTTTTTGTTAGAATTAGACACAAAAATCTTAACAGATCATATTTGTGAAAGTCAATACACGATAAAAGCAAATGCTTGTGTTAAATGATATTTTTTACCAAATCATTTCATAGTTTATATTTTAAAGCATTTGAATATAACATTCAACTTTATTTGATTTTCTTCAAGCAGTGAAAAGACATTTTGGACCTAAACTCTTCCAGAAGAGAAATGACAGCTGAGAAACTTAAATGAATGCACACATAGAAAATACAACATTAGTGAATACACCCCCTACTCTGAACGGCCTATACATCACGACTGTGTGCAGTGCTGGAAGCCAGACTAGATGTTGCACGACCTTGTACGTTGCGAGGTGTTTTATTGTGTAATTGTGTGCAGTGTGTGACAGTCAGCGCAACCCTTTGGAGATTAAATGAATAATGTGAAGTGACTACTCGACTAGTGTCATGTGTTGCTGGTTATTCATGGATATGTCTGTGAGTGTATGTAGATGACATGCAGGTGGAGAGAGGTGTAAAAGTTAAAGGTTGGCGTGTCATAGGTTAGCATGTCGTCCGAAATCTGTTGAAAAAGTCTTGTCGTTTAAAATATGTTAAAAAAGTCATAGGTTAGTATGTCGTCCGAAATGTGATAAAAAAGTCATAGGTTAGTATGTCGTCCGAAATGTGATAAAAAAGTCATAGGTTAGCATGTCGTCCGAAATTCGGTAAAAAAGTCATAGGTTAGTATGTCGTTTAAAATTCGGTAAAAAAGTCATAGGTTAGTATGTCGTCCGAAATTTGATAATAAAGTCATAGGTTAG